GGTCTCCTGAATAGAGCACACTGATGGGTCTTGACTCTATCCAATTTGCCAGTCTGTGTCTTTTAATTGGGGCATTTATTTTGATCCTGTCATTATGATGCTAACTGGTTATTTTGCCCATTAGTTGATACAGTTTCTTCAAGTGTCAGTCGTCTTTACATTTTGGTATGCTTTTGCAGTGACTGGTACCAGTTTTTCCTTTCCATATTTAGTGCTTCCTTCAGGAGCTCTTATAAGGCAGGCCTGGTGGTGACAAAATTCCTCAGCACTTGCTTGTCTGTAAAGAATTGTATTTCTTCTTCACTTATAAAGCTTAGTTTGGCTGGATATGAAATTCTGGGTTGAAAATTCTTTTAAGAATGTTGAATGTTGGCCCCCACTCTCTTCTGGCTTGTAGGGTTTCTGTAAAGAGATCTGCTGTTATTCTGATGGGCTTCTCTTTGTAACCCGACCTTTGTCTCTGGCCTACCCTTAACATTTTTTCCTTCATTTCAACCTTGGTGAATCTGATGATTATGTGTCTTGGGGTTGCTCTTCTCAAGGAGTATCTTTGTGGTTTTCTTTTGAATGTTGGCCTGTCTTGCTAGGTTGGGGAAGTTCTCCTGGATAATATCCTGAAGAGTGTTTTCCAACTTCGTTCCATTCTCCCCATCACTTTCAGGTACACCAATCAAATGTAGGTTTGGTCTTTTCACATAGTCCCATATTTCTTGAGGCTTTGTTCGTTCTTTTTATGCTTTTTCTCTAATCTTGTCTTCACACTGTATTTCATTAAATTGATCTTCAATCTCTGATACCCTTTCTTTCGCTCATCAATTCAGCTATTGATACTTGTGTATGCTTCTCGAAGTTTTTGTGCTGTGTTTTTCAGCTCTATCAGGTCATTTATGTTCTTCTCAAAACTGGTTATTCTAGTTAGCAGTTCCCGTAACCTTTTATCAAGGTTCTTAGCTTCCTTGCATTGGGTTAGAACATGCTCCTTTAGCTCGGAGGACTCTGTTATTACCCACCTTCTGAAGCCTACTTCTGTCAATTTGTCAAACTCATTCTCCATCCAGTTTTATTTCCTTGCTGGCATGGAGTTGTGATCCTTTGGAGGAAAAGATATGTTCTGTTTTTTGGAATTTTCAGCCTTTTTGCACTGTTTTTTCCTCGTCTTTGTGGATTTATCCACCTTTAGTCTTCGATGTTGGTAACCTTTGGATGGGGCTTTTGCGTGGTCATCCTCTTTGTTGATGTTGATGCTGTTGCTTTCTGTTTTTTAGTTTTCCTTCTAGCAGGACCCTCTTCTGAAGTTCTGCTGGAGTTTGCTGGAGGTCTACTCCAGACCCTGTTTGCCTGGGTGTCACCAGCAGAGGCTGCCCAACAGCAAAGATTCCTGCCTGCTCCTTCCTCTGGAAGCTTTGTCCCAGAGGGGTACCACCAGATGCCAGCTGGAGCTCTGCTGTATGAGGTGTCTGTTGACCCCTACCATCAGGAGGCATTGGAATCAGGGACCCACTTGAGGAGGCAGTCTGTTCCTTAGCAGAGCTTGAGCGCTCTGCTGGGCAATCTGCTGCTCTCTTCAGAACCAGCAGGCAGGAATGTTTAAGTCTGCTGAAACTGCGCCACAGCTGCCCCTTTCCCCAGGTGCTCTGTCCCAGGGAGATGGGAATTTTATCAATAAGCCCCTGACGGGTTGCTGCCTTTCTTTCAGAGATGCCCTGCCCAGAGAGGAGGAATCTAGAAAGGCAGTCAGGCTACAGTGGCCTTGCCAAGCTGTGGTGGGTTCCACCCAGTTCGAACTTCTCGCTGGCTTTGTTTACGCTGTGAGGGGAAAACCTCCTACACAAGCCTCAGTAATGGCAGATGCTCCTCCCTTCACCAAGCTGGAGCATCCCAGGTCGACTTCAGTCTGCTGTGCCAGCAGCGAGAATTTCAAGCCAGTGGATCTTAGCTTGCTGGGCTCTGTGGGCATGGGATCCACTGAGCTAGACCTCTCGGCTCCCTGGCTTCAGCCCCGTTTCCTGGGGAATGAACAGTTCTCTCTCTCTGGCGTTCCAGCACCACTGGGGTACGAAAGAAACCTCCTGCAGCTAGCTCAGTGTCTGCCCAAATGGCCACCCAGTTTTGTGCTTGAAACCCAGGGCCCTGGTTGTGTAGGCACCCAGTGGAATCTCCTAGTCTCCAGGTTGTGAAGACAGTGGGAAAAGCGTAATATCTAGGCCGGATAGCACCATCCCTCACTAACAGCACAGTCCCTCATGGGTTCCCTTGGCTAGGGGAGGGAGTTCCCAGACCCCTCATGCTTCCTGGGTGGGTCAACATCCCACCTTGCTTCTCCTAGCCTTTCTTGGCCTGCATCCACTTTCTAATCAGTCCCAATGAGATGAGTCGAATACCTCAGGTGGAAATGCAGAAATCACCCACCTTCTGCCTTGGTCTCACTGGGAGCTGCAGACAGGAACTGTTCCTATTCGACCATCTTGCCCGGGAATCCCAAAAGTCGTTACTCTTAACCAGTGTGACACACACTAGTTTTGAGCAGTAGCAAAAGAACAATGTGTGTGTTGGAGACTCAGATAAGAACTTGAAAGTCATTGGAAAATGGAAGAAAGGACAATATGAATGGGGTTTTCAGTTGAAGAAACTTTTAAAAGCAGTAGTGGCATGCATCTGGTTGATGTAGAAAGAGAAGAGTTCAGACAAAGCTGACTAATGAGAGATAGTAAAAGGAAAGTAGAATGTATGAGTCATGCAGTGGGGAGATTTCCTTTTGGCAACTAGTCTTGCTTTAAGCACAAAAAAAACAGAATAGCTTGCTGAAGACATTTTTATAGCATTAATATATGAGTCTGAGGAGAATTTTTTCCCATTTGACTAGCTTTCTATTCATCATCTTTTTCTTTCCTAGATGATTCCATGTCAAGGTATTTCAGATGCCACTTTCTTATTCTCATGTGACTGTTATATCTTAGGTATATTTTCTGGATTAAAGTAGAGTAGTTTTTAGTTTACGTTTGTTTTTATTAATCTCCATAATTTGTTTACATGTGGTCATGATGCTATTCTCTGGTTCAGAATTGAGGTACTAAAAGAAGTAGGTTTTAATTAGCATGTTAAATTATAGTAATGTTGAAAGGTTCCATTTATTACGTATGGGATTTTACTGTAGGAAGTTAGTCTTCTTGAAGATTTTTCTACTAGTACTGCTTTCACTTTTTAAACCAACTTTAATATACTGCTGTAAATTCATAATTTTTCTCCTTCTAGTCTCCCCTCCCCATCTCTCTTGTGAGAAAATAATTTGAAGTCAGATAAGGTCTTTCTTCTGAAGGAACTGACAATTTAGTATCTAACACAATAAGTGCCATGCAAGAGCAGGGAAACAAGGAATATTAAATTCTGTGGCACAGAGGACAGACATTCTATTAAGATACCAAGATATATTTCAGCTGATCCTTGAAGGCTTGTGACAGAGCTCGGAAAGGCACTGTAGACAGAGGAACAGCCTGAGGAAGGCATAGAGCAACCCAGATCATTCAGTGAGCTGTAGCCTAAACAAGGGGGAACCTTCTACAGATTTCACTGTACCTCCTGGAGACAAACATGAGTCAGGGTGATTGCTTCTAAAAGAGGAGTTGTAGGTTTAACCTGCGACTAGTGTGCAGCTGGTGTCTCTATAACACTAAGAAGGAAGGACATAAAAAAAGTTCTGCAGAATGGAGGCAAAGCTGGAGTCCAACATGAGGGAAAAAACATATACACCTGTAGCTCTCCACCTTTGAGAAAACTTGCTAGAGGGAACTCCACATGACAGAAGTTATTTCCATTCCATAGATCACCCCAGTTGCTCATTGCTGGCTGTTTTTCTCTCAGTTTTTGATGTTTTATTATGCAGCTATCCATTGATCCTTTTAGTGATAGATGCATTTATTGAACTTGTGCCATGTACCAGGTACTGTTCTATGTTCTGTATGTTTTCCAGCTTATTTAATAGCTTTCTTCTCTTATGATTTTACTTTAATGGTCTTGGTAACTTCCCTGTGTTGCATAGATCACAGCTATTACACAGCCACCCCTAGCTGCAGGGTAAGCTGGGTAAGTGAGTATTTAGCCTTTCTTGCCTTAATAGTGGAGGCCGGCCACAAAAATGGAAGTTAGAAATGAGTATGTCTGCTACATAATCACTTTTCTTACTTGCTTCCTTTGTTTAGTCTATCCCCTTTCATTTCTTTCTTGTAAATCTAACTCTTTTTCTCTGAAGAAACTAAAATTCTTTAAAGATTAAGAATCTTCACTATTATATTTGACATATAAAAGTTCATGAAGAATAAATTACAGCTTGGGTTTTAAATTTTACTTGTATAGGTTAATATCAAATTTTAGCATTATAAAAGCAATTCTACAGAGGGAACATTTACATTATGCTTCAGTATCTTCAGTTGTACCTTACTGTTCAGCATAAACATCATATGCCAAAGAGGTATAATCTTTTGTTGTATATTTCCTTTGTTGATTTTTAAAGACATTATTATTATGAATCAAATGGCAGTTGTTTATTTTACCTACATTGAAGCTTTTAGTTATAGTGAGTTGAACTCCAAATTTATAAAGCAGTTGAATCATTTAATAAAAGCAGTTGGATTAGCTCATTCATTCATTAAATATTAAGTTCCTGTTATGTGCCTGAGGGTATGGAGAGATGAAAGAGTTGGTAGGGAATGATATTTGAGGATAGGCTGTCTCTATGAAAATAAAAGCAATTACCAATTTTAATTTAAAAATAAAATATACATAGATAAACACTTATAAATAGTAATAAAATATAAACCCATAAACACTCATGAACAACAAAATACACACCCATAAAAGTAAATGGATGGGTGGATGGATGGATGGATGAATGGGTGTGTGGACAGAGACTGATAGACACTTAATAAATTAAGATTAATGTTGTAGTTAATGGTGTTTCAATATTATGTTGTCTAAAAGTATGTTAACTTTTTTAAAAAATTAAGGTTGACAGATTTGCAATGGAATTAGAACAGAGCCGAAATTTGAGCAATACCATAGTGCACATTGACATGGATGCTTTCTATGCAGCTGTAGAAATGAGGGACAATCCAGAATTGAAGGATAAACCTATCGCTGTAGGATCAATGAGTATGCTGGTAAGTAAAGATCAAAGACAAAAAGGAAATTTTATAACATATTCAAGTAAGCTTTACTGTTTCATGAAGGAGGAATTCTTTATTGAGGTCTACCAGTTTGCTGAGTATTTTTCTGGGTGCCTTATATATGACTCAATTACTGAATCCTTTCAACATACTTTAAGGCAGGGGACTCCTGCCCCTGGTTCACAGATTGGTATTGGTCCATGGCCTGTTGGAAACTGGACCTCGCAACAGAAGGTGAGTGTCAGACAAGCGAACGAAGCTTCATCTGTATTTACAACCACTTCCCATCACTTGCAGTATGCCCGAACTCGGTCAGATCAGTTGTGGCACTGGATTCTCATAGGAGCACAAACCCTGTTGTGAACTGCGCATGTGAGGGATCCAGGTTACATACTCATTATGAGAATCAAATGCCTGATGATCTGTCACTGTCTCCCATCACCCCCAGATGGGATTGTCTAATTGCAGGAAAACAAGCTCAGGGCTCCAATTGATTCTATATCATGGTGAGTTGTATAATTATTTCATTATATATTAGAATGTAATTATAATAGGAATAAAGTGCACAATAAATGTAACATTCTTGAATCATCGCGAAACCATCACCCCACCAGTCCGTGGAAAAATTGTCTTCCACAAAACCAGTCTCTGGTGCCAAAAAGGTTAGGAACTGCTGCTTTAAGGTACTAGTTTTTATTTCCATTTGGCAAAAAAGAAAACTCAGAGAGATGCTTAATAACTTGCCCAAAGTTACAAACCTAGTAACTTCCATGGCAAATTAAATTTTTCCATAAGTAACCATTCTAGTTAAAGAGAGTTGAATAAGAAAGCAAAGGAAATGTTATTGTAAGGTATTAATAGAGATTTTCAAACTGGTCTGCAGGCCAAATCCAGCTTTTTATTGGAGCAAAGTCACACCCGTTTATTTATTACTATTGTTGCACTAAAAGAGCAGAGTTCAATAATTCAATGATCTGCAAAGCCTAAAATGATTACTATCTGGACTTTCACAGAAAAGAAAAGGTTTGCCAACCCTAGTTCTGGAATAACGTATTTCATTAATAGAGTACATTTAGAATGCAGTTAAATTGTTTCTCCCATGACTTAGAACTTTGTTTTTCTGATTACTATGTTGCTGTTCCTTTTTACACTCTAACTTTAGAAGGTAAAAATGACCAGGATAGCTATGTGTGGCTGAAAGTGTGTTGGGAATTAAAAGTAGCAACTGAAATAGATGGGCTTTGGTACTTAAAAAGTATTAGATAAACAAGAAGAGTTCTTCTCTGTTCCTAACTCCTTCCCATGCCTTAGATAGCTACAAAACTAATTCTTACTGAGTGATTATTTTATTATAAAACTATAATCTGTTTGTTTTTTATCTCTGCCTCTGTGAGTATGCAGGCAACTGATAACTCTGTTTCCAAACCACTGTTTTTTGAAAGGAAACTCCCCTTTCCTACAAATCATCAATAAATATTTCAAAAAAATATATTTACTTTTATTAAGATGTAACACCATAAATTTATGTATGTTTATGTATGTGTATACATACAAACTTGCTGTAGCCATGTTAAAGCTAAACCGACTGCTTTTGAAATCTACAAAATATTTTCTTTCCTACAGTTTCTGTTCTCCTAAAAATCAGTTATTGTTTCTAAATTCAAAATTACTATTTGTTATATTTAAACAAAGATTACTCCCTTTGTATGTTGAACAAATAGGTTTCCCTTCTTTTTTTTTTTTTTTTTTTTTTTTTTGAGACGGAGTCTTGCTCTGTCGCCCAGGCTGGAGTGCAGTGGGCTCACTGCAAGCTCCGCCTCCCGGGTTTACGCCATTCTCCTGCCTCAGCCTCCTGAGTAGCTGGGACTACAGGCGCCCGCCACCTCGCCCGGCTAGTTTTTTGTATTTTTTAGTAGAGACGGGGTTTCACCGTGTTAGCCAGGATGGTCTCGATCTCCTGACCTCGTGGTCCGCCCGTCTCGGCCTCCCAAAGTGCTGGGATTACAGGCTTGAGCCACTGCGCCCGGCGGTTTCCCTTCTAATAAGCATAACTTTTTGTCCTATTAAACATATAAAAGTATATCTACAAATTAATGGGAGTCGTTTCATTATTCCTACTGATAGAATTCTTTTTTGGTGAATTTGATGGATTTTTGAAATGTTCTAACTTGGCACTGAGAGTTGCAACTGAGATCGTATAGCAGTTATCTATTGCTGCATAACAGCTTCCCGCAGTATTTAGTGGATAGCCAAAATTTATTAGCTCATGATTCTGTAATTTGAGCAGAGTGCAGTGGCGATGGCTCAACCCTGCTCTACCTGGATTTGGCTAGGGCAATTTAACTGAGGTTAAAAAATCCAAGATGGCTTCATTCACATGTCTGGCACTTGGACTGAGGAGATTGGAATGGATTCCAGCTTCAGAACTTTCTTGTCTCCATTGATGCTTCAACATTGAGTAATCTACCCCGAAATATTTACAATGGTTGCTGGATTACTAAAAGCAAAAACTTAGGTTTCGGAACGCGGTGTCACTTCCCTCACATTATTTTCATCTAACCAAGTCACAAGGCAAGTCACATGGCATGAGGAACTAGAACCCACTTTTGATAAGAGTAACTGTAAAGTGTTGTGGCTGTGATCTACAATATACCACAAATTTAAAAGTTAGAGAAATTCTTATTTAAAAGTTTGTATCTCCTCTACTATAGATCTAGCTTTTATGTCAATTCTATTAAACTTATTTACTAAAGCATTGGTTTTGTTTCTAGTGCTATCCACATTTTCTGTTTCAGAACACTGACTAAGGATTAGTATAGTTCTGAGTACTATCAAGATGTTTTAAGTGCCATTTGAAAATCATTAGAGGTAAATTCATATTATCATGAAATAATTCCTTCATTTGATTCTGATTTGCATTTCTTTGAAATTTCACTTGAGATTCCAAATAAGGATTTAATTTGTGATAGAATTTGTTTTATAAATAGTCCTACGGTCTACCACGTTCACATAGACTTTCATCAGATATCATCATCAACAGGATTTAATAAGCAATATTCTCCTTTTTTTTTTTTTTTGAAATGAAAGGCCTCACATATTTATTACTGAACCCAGCCAACCAACGCATTCATAATAGATTCAGAGAGGAAAATATGTCGAACTCTCCAGAGAGTGGTGACATTTTCAGTTTGATATGGTAATATGATCGTGACCTTCAGACAGCACAAATATATGTGCCATCTCATGTGCAATTCCTTATAGACCCAGCTTGGTTCTTCTCCAGTGTCTCCTTTTGGAGTTGTACCTTATTTTATTTCCAGTTTTCATCCGAATCCACTGGGGAATGGGACGATTTTGCTTTTGTTTCTTGGCCAGGAATCGCTTAATCCTGAAAGTCTTGTGAGAAGACATGGCGAGAAGTGGAGGCAAGAACCAATATTCTCCTTTTTACTCTCATACTTTTGTAGTTCCATCTCCTAGTCAAAATGTTTTCAGCAAAAAAGATAATTAAGCCTTAAGAAAAAAACCTTAATTTCTAAACTTATTTTAAGCTTTAATCACTTCATTTTGGAGACTTAATTTGGCTGACCACATAGTAGACCTTTTATTTTTGTTCTAGATGAAGTTTCCAAAATCCCAAATAGAGCAAATTCCAAAAGTTTACTATTATACTATACTATTACTTTCTATAATGTAACGTCTTTACTATTTGTATACTATTTTATGACTATTCTGTACAACTTACTATATTACTACTTTCATGTAACATAACTCACCATCATTCAAACTTTGATATTCATTCTATAACAAGTATGCCTTAAAACCAATGACGTTTAGTTAGTAGAAATTTTAAAAAATCTTTTTATTAGCACAGTCTTGTTTATATCTGGTATCGCATTATAAATACAGGGATAGTAATGGGAGAGGGTCATGGTATCAAAATACTGTGACAGAATAAGTCAAAACTTGGATTAAAACAGAGGCCTATAAATGAAATGTCCTTGAATTGAAAAGGCACATATTAATGTATTTCCTATGAATGCATTGATCAATATGTCCATTTAGGTTTGTATATTTTTTTCCATGTGGTCCAATATCTTTCAGTCTACTTCAAATTACCATGCAAGGAGGTTTGGTGTTCGTGCAGCCATGCCAGGATTTATTGCTAAGAGACTCTGCCCACAACTTATAATAGTGCCCCCAAACTTTGACAAATACCGAGCTGTGAGTAAAGAGGTAAGTTAATGTCTCACCCCTACTTTAGGCTTTCACTGATTTCCTGTCACCTGCAGAGTCAAGTCTGAGTGCCTTAGCACATAGGATTTGGTCTTAGCTTACGCTTTCAGTCGAGCCTCCTATCACTTCTTCAGCTTGTATATTGAATACTGAGCTGCATATAGTATCCAGAATACATCATTCTTTTTCCCAATTATTTGCCTTTCCATGCAGTTTTCATTTGCTTAGAAAACTCTTCCCATTTCCTCCAACTTTGAACTGCCTTAATGATAATATAAAATTAAATTTAGCTCTTTTTTCTTAATGTACAATATACATTTTTTCTAGAACCACATTTTATTAATAACTTACAGAATCTACTCATCATTAATGTCAACCTATTATCTGAATAATTATTTGTTAATGTTGTTAAACAGTGACAAAATTCATGTATTTTGATTAGCCTACTTTTCTTGCCCTATAATCATTTACTGTCTAAGACTGATAATTGAAAAGGGAGTAATCCATTGCTTTGAAAAGGATCTTTGAAGTAGATTTGATTATTTACTAAAATTGCCAAACTGTCATATGTGAAAACTTTCATTTTTTCTATTTTTTATGACAAGTGGTTTATCATGCAGTGCTGGAATAAAATTTTAGACTGCTCTATCAAATACTTTTAGACTGCTATAGTAAAATGTGTTTAAGACTACTGTCTGAATGGAAACACTTAAAAAACTGTGGCCTAATACTTATTACTCTTTTGTTATGCCAGGGGTCTTTAAATTCACCCCTCTTATTTTTATTCCACCTCATTTTTCCGAGAAATGACACTATTCCAAGTTTAAACACAGGTTTGTTTTTTTTTCTGTCCACGGCGGTCTGTGACAGCAAGTGCTTTGTGTATACCTCTGAAAAGGCAGTGTAGGAGAGGGGAGCACACTCACATTTGGTTACTGTTTATCTCTTTCATTGTATTCCTAATTAAAAAGAGATAAAATACTATCATAAATATAGCGTTTTAAGAAGTTTTAAAAATCCTACAAAAATTTAGTAAGAGAAGGCATTCTTTAAAGTCGTGCTTTAACTCAGCAATACTTCTGGCAGTATGCCAGTGAAAACCAAAGTGTTTTTAGTTATTTTAGTCTGGTTACTTATGTAAGTCAGAGAACTCTTCAAATTTGAGCCGAATCTAGCTAGTTTATTTGCAGATAACAAATGAGTTCTTATGTGTAAATGAACTATAGAACAAATTCATCACTGCCTATGGATACATTAATATTCGTGACTTGGTTAGAAAGTTTAAGAAAAAGCCCTCCCTATTTTTTGAGACAGGGTCTCACCCCATAGCCCAGGCTCAATGCTGTGACTCGATCATACCTCACTGTAACCTTAAACTCTTGAATTAAGCAATCCTCTGGCCTTATCCTCCTGAGTAGCTAGAATGACAGGCATGCATCACCACACCCTCCTAATTTTAAAATTTTTTTGCATAGATAGGGTTTCGCTATGTTGCTCAGGCTAGGTTTAAACTCCTGGCCTCAGAAAATTATCTTGCCCAGGCCTCCCAAAGTGCTGGGATTACAGGCATGAGCCACCATGCCCAGCTAGCCATTTTTGTTTTATCCAAGATATTGGAGCTTTAAGTGCTTGATTTTTACTGGAACATGTCTCTTTTAATTCTTATAGCAATATCCTATGTAAAGGAAGTTAATAAATACTCAACAGTGTCTCTAGGGAGTACTTCTCATTCAGAATCTTAGTTGGCTGCCAGTTACAGACTTCACAGGGTTTCATTTTCATTGGAAAGATTCTATTTGAGCACATTATAACAAGAACAAAGCTAATTAAGGCACTCTCTGAGTAAAACTTGGCCAAGTTTATATCACCATTTTCTAAAATTCCCTTTGACTCAGCTGTTCATAATTATATTAAGCTAAAAAGCTTTCTTTTTATAAAACAAGAAACAGTTTTCTTGTGATACAGTAGACAGTTTTAAAAGCTAAATGGAAGCATAGCATAATTCAGCAAATATATTTTCTAATACACATTTTTTTTTTGAGGCACGGTCTCACTCAGTCACCCAATCTGGAAAATATGCATATTATATTGACAACCATTGCCTCTAATTATAGCTAATACTTAAGTGGTTAGAAAAAAAAGTCATAGTTTTATGTAAGAACACTATCTTATATAAAAGGCGTTTCTGAATTATAGCAACTATAATTCTAATCTTTATATGTATTTCTTTTATCCTAAGATGTAACTCCAGACTTTTCCCCATCATTTAAGGTAATCATGGAAGTACACTATAGATTTGTCATTTTTTTCCATTCCAGATCTTAATAAGTAACAGGAAATAGAGAACATTCATTTTCCTGTATGGATTAATGCATTAATTAATGTTAAGTGGACTTTTATGTGCATGTTATAATTCATTGAAATATTTTCTAAAGCAACATAGTACCTTTATATAAGATTATTCCTTTTTAAAATGAACCAAAAACAATAAATCACAAAAGGCAGGAGGGAATAGAATCCTATCATTCCCACTTCAGCTTCTGACGAGCTACCTAAATTTAACCTTAACCGTTTTTTTGTATGTGCCTACCAGATAATGTTGTCTGAGATTTATTTGAATTGCTTATTATAACTAGATATAGGTAGCTAAATAGAGATTGTATCAAATGAAGCTATTTTGTGGTCTTCTGCCTTCATGGTCTATTATAATACAAAAAGAAATTTTGAAAATATTCCCTGGTAGTGGATTATTTATTCCTTAAATCCATGAGCTATTGACTGCAGGATTGTTACTGTAGTTGCAAACTAAGAATATTAACGTTTCTTATCAGCTACATATGACAGAAGAAATTTGCTATCACAGCAAAATTTAAACTTCTTTTTGTTTCCTTTGAAGGTTAAGGAAATACTTGCTGATTATGATCCCAATTTTATGGCCATGAGTCTTGATGAAGCCTACTTGAATATAACAAAACACTTAGAAGAAAGACAAAATTGGCCTGAGGATAAAAGAAAGTATTTCATCAAAATGGGAAACTCTGTAGAAAATGGTAAGCAACTTATTAAGACTATCAAACCAAGAAGCAGTGAAAAAAAAAACCCACAACTCTTTGAATTGATCCAATTAATTTATTAGCCTGTATAGGTAGAAGGCATAGATGTACCTTTATAAAAATGTAAAATCAGAAAATTTTAAAAATACCGTGGGTTTTCTGCATTAAACATGTAGAATATCACATATAAACGAAATGTGATTGTTAAATCTCTAAGCTTAAGAGTCTGCAGAATCCCTGAACAAAGTAATTTTATAGCAGTTATTTTCCTAAGGTCTAACTAACTAAGAGTTTGGATGGCATTGAAGCTGAGGAAGTTATCTGTTTAAAGTGGCCTTTTGTTGTTGTTAGAAAAGACTAGCCTCAAGCATATCAAAACATTGGATGATTCTATTTTTCTTCATTTTCCTAATTTTCCTAATAATCTAATTATTATAGCAATTATAACGTTTTTAACTCTGCCAAAATTAATGACTTCTCACTCCCTTCTTTGCCTTACACTGTATAATTTCAAGACTCCAGGGTTTTTTTTTTTTTTTTTTAATCCCTTTATTACCTATCCAAAAGCAATGCCAAGAAACATGCAGATAGTACACATACTGCTTTCAACATTTTGTCAAAGGTATGATTATATCTGAGATGTCCTGGACCCCTGAACAAAGTTCACCTGGATGAAAAAGTGACACAGAAGGGTTTGCTCACAACCCACAGGAACATTTCATGTGCACAACTCTGCTTCAGACGGGCCAGACAGTGCTGGGGAGACCTGTTTGTAACTTTCCCTGAAGCAAAAATGGTAGATCCCCAATGACATTAATCTAACTCTCTCACATTGTTTGTGACTCACATCATTTGGAGCAAGTTTAATATGGGCACCAAGTCACAACTTCATTACCTTATTTAAAGCCCTAAGGGATTGGTCTCTCTTTTCTTTTATAGGAACATTAAATAATAATCATCATTTCTGGACACAGAGGCATAGAGCAAAAGGTTTTCCTTATTTCGTGTAACTTTATTGTTTGAGGATGTGGTACATAAAGCCTGATGTCACTTTGTATAAAATCTTACTTTATTAATTCCTTACTTTCACAAGAGAATGAGGGAATATCATTAAATAATTATGTCAAAGCATCCCCTGAGGGCCTCCCATAACAATTACTTGCATGATATGTTTTAAAATTTTTACATTGGGATTAAAGTAAATATTTTCATTTTCTCCTAATTTTTTTTTTTTTTTTTTTTGAGATAGAGTCTCACTCTGTTGCCCAGGCTGGAGTGCAGTGGCATGGTCTCAGCTCACTGCAGTCTCTGCCTCCTGGATTCAAGCAGTTCTCCTGCCTCAGCCTCCTGAGTATCTGGGATTAGAGGTGCCTGCCACCACACCTGGCTAGTTTTTTGTATTTTTAGTAGAGGCGGAGTTTCACCATGTTGGCCAGGCTGGTCTCAAACTCCTGACCTCAAGTGATCTGCCCGCCTCAGTCTCCCAAAGTGCTAGGATTACAGGCGTGAGCCACCACGCCCGGCCTACTAATGTTCTTTTCATTTCTTATAATGTCCAAACTCACTATGAGTATGTGAGTTTTTAATATCTATTGCTTTTAATATATTTACTTGTACAGCGCCCTCTTCATGTATTTTCATATCCCTAAGCAATTGAAATAGTTTAAATTTTCTTCTCATGTATAAATACCTGTGGGCTGGACTTTCAGGCATGTCTCATCTCACATCATGCCATGGGAAATTGTCAATAGTGCATTGACTGTGGCAGGCAATTGATATATCTTCCTCTAAAGTCCAAGACATTTTTTTGCTGTTTCCCCATTTTCTAAAAGGTGTTTGTCTTTGGAAATATATTGCTAACTACCATCTCTACATACAAATAAAATTTTTAAATGTTTACTCTCCCATCTAAATCTGGATGGTGAGTGCCAGATAATAAAAGAAACTGAAATGCCATTCACTTTTTAGCGCTTGTCATTCAAATGAAATGCTTTAATCCTAGTGTTACATTCTGATTACCTCAGTTATGGGAATTATAAAGATGTTTCTGACACAAAGCAAAACTAACAAACTAGTCAACTGTTGTTGCACAACCAGGCCCTCACAGAAAAGTGAATGTAGCTTCAGATATGAAAAAGATATCCTGAGCATTCTGCAGCAGCTCTGATAATGACTAAAAGCAGCGATATTACTTGCTTCTCGCTGTATAATTCCTGCCCCACAGTGACTCACCTGAGGTGCTGGGGTGTTGAGGCCATTGATCAACAAAACATGAGCAATAAAAAACTCGCAGATAGGAGACTTATGAATGTGACAGAAACTCATTTGGGTTTGCAGTTTTTCCTGTAAGCTCTCTCTTACCTTTACTTCTAGCCCAATCCAGATGAGGAAAAGGCTCCGAGATAAATATGCCATTCATACTGTTTCACAGCTATTTTTTTTTTTTTTTGTGGGGGAGAAGAGTTCTCACTCTGAGGACCACAGAGCTGAGTACAGTGGCACGGCTCACCTCACACTGCATATCTCTCCGCCTTCTGGGGTTGAAGGTAAATTCATCCCGGATGCTGGCTCTCAGCCTCCTAGAGTAGCCGTGCGCACCACCTTATGCCTGCCATGTTTTGTTTTTTAGTAGTAGTGGGGGTTTGTCGCCATCTTAGCCAGGCGATCTTGAACTCCTACCTCAGGTGCATCCCCCGCCCTCAGCCTCGCGCAAAAGTGCTTGTGATTACAGACTGAGCCACCGTGCCTGCGGCCTTTTCCCCTCTGATCGCTCCACACTTTTAAAACCAGAAATATTAAGAAAGTGACAGGAACTGAAGCACGACTAAATATCACTAGAGTAAGTTGAAAATAGCTTAATTGTGCGAGGGCAAGAGTAGTTTCACATTATAATTCTACAGCACTTAGGAGCTGAGGTGGGAGGGATCAGTTGAGCCCCAGGCATTGGGAGACCACCTTGTCTGGGGGGGGCAAGATGTGAAACCCTATTCTTTACCAAAAAAGTATAAAATTAACTAGGTGTGATGGGCTGCGCCTGAGTCCCAGCTACAACTTCAGGCCTGGGCAAGAGGGGGCGAGACCCTGGATCTCTAAAAAAAAAAAAAAAAAAATGGAGAGAAAGAAAATTGGCTTATTGTGTATGTGCCCTGGGAATTCAGATTTGGAAAACATCTGACTGAATTAACATCTATGACTTAATTCACACTACATATTTTAAATTTTTAAATTTATCAGATGTCTGTCATATTTATTTTATATTATTTTTAAATTTTTTTCCTAAACAGCCAAGTTCATTTTTCAAGTAATATACATTCATATGTGTCTTAAAACTAGAAATTTAATTTTTGCTTCTGCATTTACCTTAATTTGGAAAATATTTATATGTAATAAAATTATGAGATGGGATCAGAAAGCTTTTTTGCTAACCTTGGTTGTTACAAATGCATTTAAATTGTATTTCTTCTACATGAAGCCCAGAAAATAGGCTTTAATAGATTTGTTCATGGAGACATTTTTAGTATCAGTATAGATTTAAGTATATTTTATAGAGTCCATTTATGAAAAATACAAATATAAGGAGGTAATAACCAGATTGGTATTTTTACTTTACTTTGTAATAATAGTTTATAGCCTATTAATAATAACGTCTCTTTTTCTTAAACTTGGATCATCCAATCAGACCTTAAGAATTTGTGTATTCAAAGCATAACTTTCAGAGGTAATTTCTATTTATTACAAATGTGCCCTTAATCAAAGTGATACTTCATAAACAAGCAAATCAAAATTAAAATCAGCATTTGAAAGAAGAAAATTCAGATTATTTTAAAATCTAAAAGTTTTCTTCCATGAATGAAGAAAAGTTAAGTGTTTTTCCTTCTAAAAACAAAACTTTATTTTCAGGTGTAATTATTATATATTGCTTAAATGCCTTTTTCCTCATTCCTAAATTCTAATTTTAGAAGATTCTTTTTCTTCCTAAAGGAGAATAAAGAAAAGATTTCCTTTTTTTTTTAAGGAAAAGGTAACGTGAACTGAAACCCAATTCTGAATTTCAATTAATTTAGGTACGAACATTAAAGAGTTTTACACAGAATATTTTCTTTTAATATTTATGTTGTGGAAATGGATAATAGTCTTGTTAGGAAAAATTCATAGTCAGTGTTCTCTTTAACAGTTATAAAACAGTAAATGATAAATGATGGCATTTCTGATCTTGGATCCTAGAAACTAAGCTAAACTAGATTTTTTTTTTTTTTTTTTTGTCTTCAGAAATAATGTAGGGAAACCTAACTTATGAAGTATATACTTCTTAAAATAAACGTGAGTTATTGTTCCTGTTTATGATTTAGATAGTCCAGGAAAGGAAGTTAATAAACTGAGTGACCATGAACGATCCATCTCTCCACTACTTTTTGAAGAGAGTCCTTCTGATTTGCTGCCCCCAGGAGATCCTTTCCAAGTGAACTTTGAAGAACAAAACAGTCCTCAAATACTCCAAAACTCAATTGTTTTTGGAACATCAGCCGAGGAAGTGGTAAAGGAAATTCGTTTCAGAATCGAGCAAAAAACAACATTGACAGCCAGTGCAGGTATTTAAAAGGGTATTGGTGGCCACTATAGTTATAATTTTCAGACTGGCTAATTCAAGTGTAATATTAGTAGTTTTTCATTATAAAGTATTTAGTAACATTTTACTTATATAGTCTTTGATTCAACTTCTAATGACTTTACCTATTCAGAATAGCTGTGAACCTAGTAAGTAAATTGGAGTTAAGCAGACTATGAGCCTGAAGAAAAAAGAGATTATAAATTTCTTTCTTTTTTTTTTTCTTTTTGAGATGGAGTCTTGCTCTGTCGCCCAGGTTGGAGTGTAGTGGGGCAATCTCATTCAGCTTATTGCAGCCTCTGCCACCTGGATTCAAGCGATTCTCCTGCCTCAGCCTCCTGAGTAGCTGGGACTATAGGCGCATGCCGCCATGCCCGGCTAATTTTTTGTATTTTCAATAGAGACAGGGTTTCACCATGTTAGCCAGGATGGTCTTGATCTCCTGACCTCGTGATCCGCCCACCTTGGCCTCCCAAAGTGCTGGATTACGGGTGTGAGCCACCATGCCCGACCCATAAATTTCATATAGCTATCTTTTTCTAGCACAAAATATATTTTTATTGTTTTTGCATGTAATACTTGATTATTAGTTTTTCCTTGGGATGTCCAAGATTACATTGCAGGAGAGAACCCGGATGGCCACAAGGTAGGAGACAAAAGGAATACTAACTAGCAACATAGCAATCCAGGATCATCTGGTAAAGTTAAAACGAATTGACATACGTTGTTAACCCATGAGGCCATCACTGTCTCTTAGCATAATAACTATTATTCATCATGAGGACCCTGAACTATCTTGTAAAAGCCAAACTGTGATTAGGTAAATCTTTTCTTTCTACACCAAAACATGAGAATGAATAATGCATTTTAGGAAGATCTATATAACAATTGACATGAACTGTTTAATGAATCTATTTGAATATACCTATTTCAAATTATCTTAATCAGGATTCCTAGAAATTGTAAAACATCTTTCTGAAAAATAGTAATCTGTTCTGTGAATAACATAAAAAGGATACACCAATCTAATTATTATTTTAAATATACTATAACCAGAATCTTCGATTTTTTGCTTTATGTGGATAATCTATGCAAAAGACCTTTTCAAAGAGTAAACATCCACCCTAAATTATATTCTGGATCTTTTCTGAGAGGTAGATATAGAACCACTATGAAAACAATCTGGGCTGGGCATGATGGCTCACGCCTGTAATCCCAGCACTTTGGGAGGCTAAAGCTGGTGGACCACTTGAGGTCAGGAGTTCGAGACCAGCGTGACCAATATGGTGAAACCCCCGTCTCTACTGAAAATACAAAAATTACCCAGGCGTGGTGGTGCATGCCTCTAATCCCAGCTACTTGGGAGGCTGAGACAGGAGAATAACTTGAACCCAGGAGGTGGAGGTTACAGTGAGCCAAGATTGCGTAAGCCTCCATCTGGAAAAAATAAAAAATTCTGTATTCCTACTAAAGGTAGTAAGTAAACTAATAATTACACTTAATATTACTTAGCTCAGAAATTACTCTTACATTTTAAAATATCATGGAGAATTAAATATTTCTCATTTTTGCTGCCACAATAACTAGTACACTTTCTTTTCCTAAGACCATAGCAAGCCCTGGGGACATAGATGGTAATCAATTGTTATTTTTAAAGTAGCATTATATATCATTTGAGATTTTTTGCAATTAACATTTTTTTCTGTTTTGTTATTGCATTTTTAAAAGTCACACATATCAACTTCTTTGAGTCATCAGAGTATTCTTCTTTTAAGGCATTGCCCCAAATACAATGTTAGCAAAAGTATGCAGTGATAAGAATAAACCAAATGGACAATACCAAATTCTTCCCAATAGACAAGCTGTGATGGACTTCATCAAGGATTTACCCATTAGAAAGGTAAGATTTTTACATACAGTTTATTTTTGTATATGTCCTCTGAATTCTGAAGAGATACTATGTAGGTCAATAGTTAATCATTCTTTGCTAAAATGTTTTAAAACAATAGATAATAAGCAAGAACTATAATGGGTGATAGAATTTGAACTTGAAGAAACCTTTCTGTGAAACCCTGAAAGTGAGATTTAGCTTATTTGCTGTAAACTTTTAAGAAAGTAATAATCACAGATTTTTAAGTGAATTCCTGCCAAGGAGAAGAGAAATTAAAAGAATATTTCTAACAGTCCCTTCATCTGTAACTTAGTGCTATCTTAGTTCTAAAGTCTAGATTGCTGCTAGATTAATGGGCATGATGCTTCAAAGAGATTTAGAATTTTAATTGTTTTTGACAAAGAATAAACCAAAATATTTTGCCATTTTAAAAATGGTAAAATTATCCCTCAGGGGTTCCAGAAAGTGTATACTTTATTATTTTTTAGAGCTTCTAGATTTTTCTGCATATATATACTTTTTTTTCAATAATTGCACCATACACTACTGTATATGATCTAGGACTTTCTTTTCTCATTCAACATAATGTACATGAATGAATTTAAATATTTTTCAGTGCTCAGTATGTAATATATAGTGATTACTGACTAGTATATGTAAGGTGTAGCTGCAAAGCAGTGTTTTCCAATATGTTTTTCAAGTATGAATAGGTATTCCCTTTAAAAAGGTTCTGGGTTCAAATACCTTTGGAGTGTACTACTCTTGATGTGTCACTATGCGTATTAATATATTAAAGATTCATAAATCTTGGAATAAAAAGTTTCACTTAAATTTGTTAATCCCACCATTCCCCAAGTTTATATGAACACAGCACTCCTTTTTTAATGCCTTTTGAACTTACATGAAGCCCTAGTTTAGTAAATGTGGTCAAAAAGTAATTAAAGCAGTTTTCCTGCATGACTTGTGAAGATAGTCACATTATTCGTACCTTTTATCGATTATAAAAGATAAAATGAGCACTTTGGGAAGCCAGGGTGGGCGGATCACCTGAGGTCAGGAGTTCGAGACCAGCCTGACCAACATGGAGAAACCCCATCTCTACTAAAAATACAAAATTAGCC